AGCCCCACGACCGCAAGGTCAAGCTCGCCGGCCGCCGCCGCCTCTGCAAGCTCTCCTCCTCCCCCGACCCCGACGCCGACCAGGAGGACAGCATCCGCGACATCCTCGACGACCTCACCACCCGCCTCGACTCCCTCTCCGTCGACAGGCCCAAGGCCCGCCCCCGTCCCGCGCAGGCCCGGGCCCCGCTCCCCTGCGCCGTCAACGCCGAGGACGACGACGACGGCTTCTACGACGCCGCCGCCGGCTCCTCCTCCTCCTCCTCCTCCCCGCTGCCTCCCAAATCTGGCGAGGACGACGGCTTCTTCGACGCCGCCGACGGCTCCTCCTCCTCCCCGCCGCCTCCCAAGGGGCCGGAATCGGGTGCCCCCTCCCCCGTCGACGTCTCCAGCTCCGACGAGTCTGAGGATGACGCGCCGCTGGTGGTCCGGAGGCAAGTCAAGGTGGAGAAACCGCCGCAACTCCCAGATCCGTCATCCGCCTCCTCTGCCTTCGCCGATCTGGCTACTCAGGAGGAGGAGGAGGAGTCCGTCGACAAGGGGAACAGCAAAGCCACGGCAGCGACGGTCAGCAAGGAAATTAAGCCGGAGAAACCACAATTCCACGGTGATTCACCATTCACCTCTGCCTTAACCGATCTTACTGCTCAGGAGGAGTCTGTCGACAAGGAATTCAAGCTGGAGAAACCGCAAGTCCCAGATTCACCATTCGACTTCTCTGACCTTGGTGATGAGGAGGAGACCAGTGCCAAGTGGAACAGCAAAGCCGCGGCGGTGGTCAAGAGGGAAGTCAAGGTGGAGAAACCCGACCCAGATTTATCGTTCGCCTCTGCTTTCACCGACCGCCGTGTTCTGGATGATGCCAATGACATGGGGAAGAAAACCGGGGCAAGTGCTTATGGCGGCGCCAAGTTGGGCAAGAGGGCTGCATCAAAGCCCTCATCCTTTGCGGATTTTGATGAAGACGATGACGGTGTCAGCGAGGAGAAGGAGAACCGTGCTGCTGATGACTCCGAGAAGGATGTTGGCTGGGAGAAGACAGAGGATTTCAAGATGGAGCCCACCGGGTGCGGCAAAATGGTCAAGCCGTACAAGCTCCCGGGAAGCATTTTCAAGATGCTTTACCCCCACCAGCGCGAGGGCCTCAAGTGGCTCTGGGTTCTGCATTGCAGGGGAACTGGAGGGATCCTTGGGGATGACATGGGTCTCGGCAAGACCATGCAGGTCCGTCTGTTTAACCCCTTCATTCTGTTTCCAATCTCAATGATTCATATCCTGTTAATTGTCGTTTAGTTAGAACAAGGATCAAATGAATATCAAGTGCTACCTTTGATGGATTTTAGGTGCTGTGATGACCTTATGTATCTCACTTCTCAGAATTATAACTATTGATTGGAGCAGTGTATACCTTATGTATTATGGCGTTAGAATGCGGCAAGGGTTTGCTGTCTATACCTTCATGTTTTTTTCTTGCAGCAAATACATTCATGTTTTTTTGGTAGTGATAGCTCATAATTTGTTTGAGAACCTGCATCCTTTGTGCCCTTTAGTTTCTGCATTTGTACAACTCGAAGAAATCATCATCAGAGAGAAGAATAGCTTCTTCTTTTTTTCTACTCTATGTTTATATATAGTTGTTTCCTAGCTAGCTCTCTGCCACAAAGTTCATCTGCACTTGTTTCCTTCAGCCACAGTATAGTATGAATATGAAGTGGTCCCATGTGACTGCAATTTGCTGACGAATACTTGCATCCTTACTTCTATCTTGCAGGTTTCTGCCTTCCTGGCTGGATTATTCCATTGCCGCTTAATCAAGAGAGTGTTGGTGGTTGCGCCAAAGACACTTCTCACTCATTGGACGAAGGAACTTTCAGTTGTTGGCCTCAAACATAAGATTAGGGAGTAAGATCTGCTATTACATATTATTGTTCCTGAACTTGCTTGATCTCAAATCCTGTCAATCAGCACTAAGTTGTTCCTTTCGTTTCCACAGTTACTCTAGTCCCAGCGTAAATGTTCGCAATTCTGAACTTCAATATGCATTCAAGGTATGGTTTCCTACTCTTAACATAATCATTTTTATCTTGGGTTCTTCTGGTTTTGAAAATTTTAATACCTGTGAGTCGGCAGATATTCATTTTTGCATTAGCTATTTAGAGGATTATCTTATCATTCAACATATTTTAATGAGTCATGGCAGCTATTGTAACTCCTTATCTCTTCTACAGGAGGGCGGTATCCTTCTGACTACATACGACATTGTCCGTAACAATTACAAGTTGATCAGAGGTGACTTCTACAATGGCAACGTGGAAGGGAAGTATGACAAGCTGATCAGAGGTGACTCATATAATGATGCTGACGAAGACGAGGATGGCAAGTTATGGAACTATGTTATTCTTGATGAGGGACATATTATCAAGAACCCGAGTACTCAAAGGGCCAAAAGCTTACTCGAAATACCTTGTGTCCACCGCATCGTCATAAGTGGAACACCTATTCAAAACAATTTAAAGGTACCTCCCATCTCAAGTTCTTAATACTTCTTGCCGTAGATGCTCCTATATGCTCTGCACTCTTATTACCAATGCAAATAAACATGTGTTTTCTTACAGGAAATGTGGGCTCTCTTCTATTTCTGTTGCCCGGAGGTCTTGGGTGATAAGGACGAGTAAGTACTCTCCTCCTACATAACATTGTCCCATTGTTTTGCACCATATACTGTTATTTATATCTCGAGAACATGGCAGATTCAAATCAAGATATGAATCGGCTATCATTCGAGGAAATGACAAGAATGCCACCAATCGAGAGAAGCACACAGGCTCAACTGTTGCAAAGGTAATACTTATTTTTTTATATCCAAAAGATGGGTGACACCAAGCCCTGTTCCTCTTATTGTGGTCAGGCAACATGTTATTGTTTCAATGTTTTCGAGTCGATGAGTCGACGAGTCGCTCAGGGGGGGCGACTCTAGACTAGTCTAGACTACTCATGGTCGATGAGTCGACATGGCGATGAGTCGACGTGAGTTAAGCAGCAGCCAGGGGAGGAGCACAAGTGCTCAACAGCAGCAGCAGCAACAAGGGGAGGAGCACACCAGCAGCCACATCAACCAGGGGAGGAGGGGAGGAGCACAACAGCAGGAGCAGCAACCAGGGGAGGGGAGGAGCACAGTAGCAGGGGAGGAGGGGAGGAGCACACCATAGGAGGGGAGGAGC